GTCAAAATACCTATGTTAGAATAGTTCTATATATAAATCTAATATATATCCTAAGTCGCGCTTTCGAGACATGAAAAACGCAGTTTGAATTTTGTCAATCGGCCCAGTAGAACGGGAGATATAGCACTGTCCCATTTTTTTTTTTTTTTTGAGCAGTGTACCTATAAGAGTTTAATTGATCTGGTTAAAGTTAAATAGTCCGAAAACTCCCGACAGACATTAAGCAAGTTATCGCTATGTCTCAAAGTAACTACAGAGTCAGACAAAAGTTTAAATAAGCCTCTTATTTAAAAAGAATTTAAAGGCATGTTCTTATGTCTTATGCTAACCAATTCAATTGCAGTTTGTGGTGATGTAATTAAACCTTTTTTTTTTTTTTTATAAAATTTAAAAAGTAAAACACAAAAAATTGGTAAATTTTATTTGGAATGAACCTAAATTTCGAAATGTGAAAGGAAAAATAATAAAAGTTTAATAAAAAAGATATTAATAAATATATGTCAAATTAAATTAACATAGAGGAGCTAATATTTTAAAACTACTTGTACGGTTTTAACAAAACTTGGTATTCTGGCATAATTTGAATCGTAGAATCAAAATATGGGAAAAAATTGGTTTAGAATAGTGCTATATAAAAATCTAATATATATCCTAAGTCATGCTTTCGAGACATGAAATATGCAGTTTGAATTTTGTGAACCGGCCTAGTAGAACAGGAGATGTAGCACTGCCCCCCCTTTTTTTTTAGCAGTGTACATTATTTGCTTGGACAGTCCATTAGTTTTAAGTGTGTCATAGTCGTAGTTGTCTTTCATGCTGTCATCTGCAGTTAGAAACTGAATGAGCATATTGCTGTGTGTTTAAATGATCTTAGTATTAGCGAAAATGCTTCATTCAGAATGAGTTCTTTAGTACTCTACTTTGGTTTTAAATCCCATCACTTCACGAAACTACAAATTTGGCCTAAGTTAATTTGCCAGTTTGGCATCATCATTCTTACTTGAGTAAAAGACGAAACACCTTCGCATTTATTAATTATTGTTCATTGAATGGGAGCTGGTTTGTTCCCCTTGAAAAGTCAACTAATTTCCGATCAATAGCGATAATTACTTGTTTTTGATTTTTAATTTCTTTTTCAAAGTTTGAAGTTTTGTTATTCATAATTTGTGTGTGTGTCTTTACATGCTTTTATTCAAGTCTAAAAATTATCTGAGCATTTTTAACTCCTTCACATCCAATCCGCCCCACACGGCCCTACATTGAAACAACCAGAACCGCCAGAAAACGGCCGAGATTGTAATCTTGTTTTCTTCCCTCCCCCTAAGACATGCAGTAGCAGGTGTAGTTTCCCCAAATGCATTGCATCAGCTTACTGCAGACAGCTTGTCCTAAGAAATTTCTTATCTTTTGGTTGATCGTGACATTTCGTTATTCTTTTGTGGTACAGTGTACTTTTAAGTTTTAAACAGCAATAAAAGAACAGTTTAAAAATTTAAGGATTATATTTATTTTTAAACAATTTATTCCCTCCTATAAAAATAACGGAAATAAACAAAATCTCAGTCGTGATCATCACAAAGCCAGAAAGGCTTGTTGGTCTGACCTTCAGAATAGTTTTATAAAGAACGGGGTCAAATGCTAATGGAATCTTTGTTAGAAAGTACAAAGGATGTCATTGGAAATCTTCACACCTATTTTCTGCGTTAATGGACGGGGAGGGGAGGAAATTTCTGTGAAACTGGAAAACTGTTTCGGTATTTTGAAGACACAAGTTAGCGAAGGGTCTGGATTTCAAAGAGTTAAAGGTGTTTAGACATTGAAATCTTAGAAAATCAGACAAAAATAACTGCTTTAAAATGTTGATCATCAGCTGTATGTAATGTTGCCTGGTGCTGGAGCAAGATATTCTGATGCTTTGAGGTAATTTTATGGTATCTAAGTTTAAACTTTCAGATTAACTTGTAGTGTTTTTCTTCATGAAAGGCAGCTACTGTTACTTTCTGTACCTTTTGTTCTTTCAGGTAGTAAAATGGATTTTAGGTGCACTAAATTCCTGTTATTTCATATATTTTGAAAAGAAGCATTTCAGTGTAGTCACAGACTTGATTTTAGTTTAAACAACTGCTAATTTTTATGTTGTAGAATTTGCCTTAATGGGTATTCACATAACAGTTTATGAAATTTATCATTCTCAGTGTTTTAGCTATGAATGGAAAGTTTAAATAATTTTATCCTATTCATATTTTAAGGTATAGTAGTTTCTTAATATACTGCCTTGATCTATAAATTACGAGAGAAAGCAAGCAAATTCGTGAAAATTTGTAATTATATTTTTATACATATGCAGGACTAATTTTAGTAATTTCTGGATTAGTGTCTATGTCTTTAGCAACTGCTGTTTCTTTATGAATGTCTGCCACAAAGACATCTCTCCTACGTAAATAGGCCTTGAATTTCTTTCGATAATTAATTTACTAGTAAAAAATCCATGCAAATCATAACAATGGTTTTATTATTAATCTTTTTTAGTCCTCCTCCATTATGAACCTATGTTTTTTGCCACCTGGGAAAGAGAAGCCGCACACTTGCCAAGATCCAACAGTAGGGCTATCTAGACTATCACTGTGTGTATCTATAAACTATTTTCATAACTAGAAATTCCTTACTATTAAAAAACCCCATTAAAATGTGTGGCAGGTACATAATGGAAAAGTACCTTCTTTTTCAAGGGGAAAAATAGAGAAATATTAGAGAATATTTGAATTTAATTATTATATTTCAGTTCACTTTCATGTGTTAGTCCTCAAATGTAATCTGTTATCATATTTCTATTTTGATGACCTTGATAACAATGTTTAAAGTGCAGCAAGCATGTAAACTGCGGTGCATATTTGCTCTGCAGCACATTTTATGTTAGTTTTAACTTTTTTTCCTATGTATTTCCTGTGGTCTGTGATCTTATGATTATCCATAAAACCATTAAGTTTAATAACAAAGTTGTATCAAGCTTTCCTTTTATTCCTAGTGATTTTCTTATTTTTCATGACCATTTTTAATGCTGTAAAGATTCTTTGATCATTTATGTAAATAATTTAGAAAACAAGATATTTGAAAACGTGAAGTGTTAAAGAATTCCTTCATAAATTTGCCTAATTTGATGTGCAACACTGATGTCAGTATCTTTTAAGGATGCTTCTGTCCCAAAAGGTGCTCCCATATGATAGTGGGAATACTAAAAACCTGTGGACAGTCCTTTCGGTTGTTAGGTCCTCACCAGTGGCCAAGTCGTTAACATCACTGAATACTGGTAGTATGACCTGTTATGGGTTAAGCAGATAGCCATCATATGTTTTACCAAACCAAATTCAGTTGTTAGGTGCATTGGTATAGCAAAAAAAGAAAAAAAAATTGTGAAACATGTTCAAAGATATATCAAAATATGTTACCATTTAAGTCTCCTGATGACCTTTCAGTCATATACATCATACCTCAGAATCTTCAGTAGCTATCATGAAGTATGATTTGAAAATAGTGCACAGCATACAAGTTGTTTTCATCAATGATTCTTTAGCTATTAATAAATTTTCCTGAGAAATGGCAAAATGAGGCTGCTTGGATGCCTACTGCCTCAAGGTTACTTCTTTCCCAGAAAAAATATTACTACACTTCTGTCATAACTTGCTAGTAATGATATAAATCAACAGGATGCTTGCATGCCTTTATGATTTAAGAGTGTAATGTGATGTCTTACTGTAGTAATAAACTAAGGCTTAGCCAGAATGCCAGGAGTAGCCTCTCAGTTGTGCCCTTACAAGAGTTTCTTACTATAGTAATAAAGTCTCTCTGGGAATCAACTGGGTTTAACTCCCACCGCAATGGCTAGGACCTGTACTCCTGGGGTGCATAATCAGTCTTAATAGTGACTAGAATGATTGTTTATTCGGTGGTAGGTTCAGGCTTGGCAAGTACTATACTGATACTCTTAGCTGCCTCTTGGTTGTGGGGATGTTACATGGTGAGATATTGAAGTTTGTTCTGGGGGTTTGGCTCTCCTTGGTCAATACTGGGGACAGTTTTTAACCTGACTTTGTTCTCTTTGTAGGTGACTGCTTGCCAGTTGCCACTCACCATAAACTTTGACTATCATAAACTACCATACTATATGCAGTTTTCTGTACTCTGTTTCTGCAGCATGTGATCGCCTATAGGGGTTGGGGCATTGATAACTGTAAAAGCGGAGTCCCTTCTCCCTAGTGTACTGTAGTAATAAACTGCTACAAGAGAATTTTAAAAATTGCTCCTTTTGATCACAAAAGCCAAATTTAGAATTATTTTTTTTTAAGGAAGTTCTTGGAAAATTACATTTTGTAATGAAAAACAAAAATTGTACTGTGTGATTTCAAGTTTCACCCAATACCAAATTTCTAATTTCATACACTTTATCTTAAAATAATTCCTACATATTATAGGCATATTATTTATGTATTAATTTTTAAATGGTGTGGTTTGTTTGATTTGTGAATAAAATTGTGCTTTTTGTAAATCCTTTTTAAATATATTTCGAATTATTTGTAGAATTTATGTCGTTTTAAATTAATATTTGCAGTGGAATTTGAATAACTATTATGCTCCGAGTAAACAAAAAAAATCAGTAAAATAAGACATATTTTCCATTTCTCCACTATCAGTGTATTTTTGTGATTTCCTGTTCATTTGAGGGTTAGGAAATTAGCATAGAATGAATATGTGCAGTATACCAGCCAATATGTTCTGGAAGGAAAGGAAATTATTTCATAAATCATCTTATTGTGCAAGTTTTTCTTTCCTTAACTGTCCTGTATTTTTTACCTTGGCCATCATGTTTCAAGTATATTATATGCTTTGTCATGCCTATGATTTGATTATTTGCTCTAAACTTTGGAATATCATAAAAGTTAAGTCTTGTAAAATGATATAAGTAATTATATTAAATGGTATTCTGATATTTTTGGATTATTTAGGTGTTTTTGCTGGATTTGGTTTAAGTGGTGTTATTCCTGCTGTCCATTATTTGATAGTTAAAGGGTTTTTCCAAGCTGTCTACCATGCATCTTTTGGGTGGCTTTGCCTTATGGGTGCACTTTATCTCATTGGTGCTGCATTTTATGCATTAAGAGTTCCTGAACGCTTTTTTCCTGGAAAATGTGACATTTGGGTATGTACCAAGATATTTATTATAAATTGATAAAATTTTTCTTTGTATATTTAAGTAATATGAAAGTGCTGAAATTCACAAAAATATTCATTTTTCTAGATTTAAATTTGTATAATTTCCTGTTGACTTTTTCAGTTTCACAGTCATCAGATATTTCATGTGCTGGTCATTGCAGCAGCTTTCGTTCATTATCATGGAATTTCAGAAATGGCTGTTTACAGACTGTCTATGGATACCTGCAGTGCTGAAGATGCACCTATTGATTTTGAATATTGAACTGCAGGATTAAAATTGCATCATTTTATAAATAAGTTAAATCACCAAAGTGGCTGAACTTCATTTGCCTTATTTCTTTGTACATCGGAAAAACTATTTGTATAACTTTTAAGTGATTTGATAAGAGGCAAAATGAAAAATGAATTTCATCTAGAGTATTTTTATAGCATATGTAGCAAACTGTACGTAAGTTTGTAATATACTTTATTGCCTGACACCATTTGGAGAAATCTGTGATAGCATTTAGTTTTCACTGAATCGTCAGTAGTACCAGTTTCATTGATGTGAGGGGGGGGGGAAATACAAAAGACACAAGGATTGGAATTTGAAAATTTGTTAAATGACTGAGGTTTACAAGACTTATTTAACTCTTCAAAAGCAAACATTATACATATCACTGTATATTAATATATTTGAGTCTGTAATAGTATTTTTCCATCTTAATTAAATGTCATGTTTTGCACTAAAAATATTTTTTAATCTAAATTACTAATCTGAATAAGCGCATTAAGAAATGAATCGCCATTCTTTGTGTTTGGAATTTTACATGTGCTAGGCTTATTTTTAAACTTCTTACACTTTTGAAGTTCATTTTAATTGAGCACTTTAAAATTATTGATAGCATTTTTCTTTTGGACTTGGGCCATAGTAATTGTTTTGTCATGAAAAAAGTATTTTTTATGTACAAGTATTCTCATAAAAAGAACTTTTCATTATTTAAAATGCATACATATTTATAAATATAGGCTTTTTATACATTCATCTTTTGCCTTTAACGTTTTTATCATCAAATTTTAATAGTCTGTTTTGAACAGAAAATAATGTGGATTGAAATGAGTTGTTTTGGAAATGAGTAATTGTTTCAAAGTTCATGGTTTATATTTTAAAATCATTTGTTACTTTTAATTTTGTTAAAAAAAAAAAAAAAAAAAAAAAAAAGGCTGAATTTTGATGTCAGTGGTTGGTAGTTGAAGTTTGTTACAAATAATAATTGTAATTTCTTAAGTAATACATTTGTTTAATCATTTATTTCCTATAGTCTATATGTATCCAATAATGCAAGAGAAATTTAGCATTTACAAGTGATAAAATTGTATATTCTGGTCTATTGAATTAATTTATAATTCATTTACTTAAAAACTTTTTGTGTGAAATGTACTATATTTTCATGCTTTTTAACCATGTTTATATTTAGTTTCTGCATGAAGATCCTTTGGAAGATTTTTTTGTCTTTTTTTTTTTTTTTTTTTTTTTTTTTTCTCCACAAGTGCACTGAAATGAAATTCAAAATTGTTGGATACTGTTGATAATTTTGTTGAAAATCACGATTGATGGTGAATTACTAGATTCTTTTAAACCTGAATGTAGCTTACTTTACTATATGAGGATGCCAATTCAAATCTAAAGCATTTTCAGTGTTTTGTTGAGTAATTAGAACTGACAAAAAGTTTTTTAATCTGTTACACTACTACTACTACTACTACTACTACTACTACTACTACTACTACTACTACTACTACTACTTTGTTATACTAGAGAATTTATGTACTGAAAACAAGTTAACAGTTGCTTACTAGCATCCGTCCATTGTCTCAATCTGCAAATAATGAGCCTCTTTCTTACTTAATCAGAACTGCATACATAATTTTTTAATTGTTCTAAAGCTAAGTAAAAGTAGTTACATGCATGGTAGCTCTGTGTTTCAATATTTAGCGATTTTTTTTCATATTCATAGTTTTTTAGCATGGATGCATATTTGATAATATTCTTATAAGCTTATCTCCGAGAAAAACATTAGTGTCCATATTGAAACTTAACAATGTAGGCATTTTTAAAAAAATTTTTCCATCAGCCTATGTCTATAAAGTTATCTTGGGAATAAATCTGAACATAATATTAGGAAAAGCAAATTGTGAAGTTTGAAATTTTAATTTGATGAAGTGTTTATAATGGCAGACTCTAGTAATTACTTGAAGGGAATACTGACTTATTAAATAGTTATTTGGTTGAAATAGTATATTCCAGTGATATTTATTGATATTTTTGTTTGTATAATGTATTTTCCATAAATAAACACTTTAAATTTACATTGGCGAGAATGCACTAATTTTCAATCAAAATTTAATTTTATTAGGCAAACTATCTGTTCATATATTCAGATATAAATTTGATTCGAAGAAAGGGGAAAATATCATCTGTCTAACCTTAGGTGAATTCGTGATCTGCCTCAGTATTTCCTATAAGCACTTTAGTACAATGTGAAGTATCTTTTTTCTAAAAATGCATTTTAGGTACATAAATGTACTGTAAACTAAATTGATGTAATTATGAAAATGTCAAAAACTTTCTAATGGGACATTTTTGTTACTCTTATTTTGCACGAGAATAATTTGTGTATATATGTTTCTATAGTATGATGAGGTAACATGGTTTTTGTATTTTTTAAATTTTTATAACCAAATAAAGTGTTTATGATTATGATTTAAGATACAAATGGTTTCTGTGTTTTTTAAATTTTTATAACTGAATGAAGTTTTTGATATAAAGATGATTTTCAAAGCAGTGCTTAGAAATTGGTTAAACATTTTACATACATACATACATACATTTACTTCAAATCACTTTTTCTTTAAATTGTTTGTGTTAGGGACTATTAATATCTATTTATTTCTACATTCTTGAACATGTTTATAACTTGTTTAGAAGTGTTGTAGAGCAGTTCTGTAAAACATCTGTACTTTCATTCATGCTGTTTTCTTATGTGTATATTGGTGTTCACTGTTTCTTGTTTCATTCCATTAATAATAAACTTTATGCCTTTTTTTAATTAAATTTGTGTTATTTGTACTATAACTTATGAAAGAGCTTTACAAATTTTAGACTTTAAATTTTGTAATGATAGCTTAGTTGTAATTTTAGTGGGAAAGAATATATTAACTGCCATTATCTTATAGGATATCATGGAAATGAACTTAACATCAAAAAAATTTCTATATATTTATACAGATTACTGCAAAAATCATTTTCTGTTTCAAAGATAGAATAACTTTTGAATAAAAGAGGGAATTTTTTTTAATTAACTTGCAATTCATTGGTATCTAATTTAGTTGAAGAACCCAGTCATACATTTGATCCCCAGTTATAAAGTCTCTTTCAATAAATCTGGATATCAAGTTCATGTGTATTCAATACAGCTAGTCCTCCTACAACATGGCATCCTGTAACACGGTTTCACTATAACACGCTTCATAAAATTGCAGAAGCCCTTTTACAACATAGTGTTCTGTAACACGGTTTCGCTCTAACACAAACAGAAAATTACTCAAGAAATCCCAAGAACTTTAACAAACTCCATATGAAGTTTTCCATATTGATCAAAGCACCCACATAGTCATATAACACATAAGAATCCTTGTTTAGTAAGTCTTGCCAGTTGTCTTCCAAGATGCAGTTCCCATAAGAACAAATATCCTCAAGGAGATGAGCCATGTAATGGAGAGCGACCATTGAATTCTTAACTGGGAACGGGAAAATGCTTTCTCCTCCATGACCTTCAAAGTATAGCAGAATAGAAATAATACATTGTCTCTAGAGCACAATTGCCAGATAACAATGAAGAAACCTCACTATCACAGAAGATGAACAACATGAGGTTACAATAAAAGCTCCAAAAACGAAAAGCACGTTCGGCTTCCAACATTTGAATCCTTATCGCCATGGACTGAAAGCAAGTGTCAGCAGTCTGTGTCAATCCTTGGAGAGGGGGTTGTTAAGGAATATCTTTCTCGTTTTTAAGATGTTAAGTTTCAGTTCCAAGGAAGAGGAAATTTATTTCTTTAGAAATAAAGATACAAACCTTGGATAGTTTTTTCAAGGAAGAAAAACCCTTAATTAAAATGCAGTAACAGTCTGGACTGTTAAGAAAAACAAGAAAGATATAGATGTGCAATTGCTGCAGCATCTTAGACATCTGCAAAATGTGCAGCTTGCCCCCTGTCACCAATAATTGAGAAGATAGAAGAGTTACTCAGAATTTGGACTGATGATAGCTGTCAAAAAAGAATTCCATTAGATGGTAATATCATTAAACAAAAAGCACTCAAAATCTAAACACCTTAAAGAACATGGAGAATCTGCTATCAACCCAGATTTTATGTCAAGTAAAAGGTAGGTTCCGAAAATTTCAAAAAGCTTTTCAAGTCGCCTGATTGTGAAGTGGCTAGGATGTATCCAGAAATAAATAAAAACATTACAGAAGAGCAAAGATACACAGCAGATCAATTTTTCAATGCTGTCGAAACTGAGCTTCGGTGGAAAATATTGCCCAGTAGAGCCGTTATATCGAAACAATAAAAAACTGCATCTAGATTTAAGATGGCTAAAGATCATCTAATGCTACTTTTGTGCAGTAATGCATTGGGGGACTTTATGATTAAACCTTTGCTAGTTTATAGATTGTATCATGAACTTACAGGCATAAATAAAAATACTGTACTGGTATATTGGAAAGCAAATCCAAGAACTTGGGTAACTGGAAATGTATTTAAAAGATTGGTTTTTAAATTGTTTTGTGACAAAAGTTGAGCATTCATTTAAGGTTTGAGCTTCAAGGCACTACTGCTATTAGATGATGCTGCATGACACCCACAAGATTTGATATCGTTGCAATGTCAAAATCCTACCACCTAACACTACTTCATTGAATCAAGGTATTATTTATATCTTAAAGTTGTAAGGATTTTAGATTTAACTGATTCAAAATCAATGTAATTGAAGCTTGGAAGAAATTTTCAATCAAGCATTCTGTCAACATCATATTATTGTCGCTGAAAGAACTAAAAACATCAATGTTAAATGCATGTTGGAAGTAGATATGGCCTTCTTCAGTTGAAATAAAAAAACGTATGTGAATCATCAGAAAATGAAATTCTTGGCATATTAGATATATTGAGAATATTCAAGATTTATTAATGGAAGAAGTTGAAGTGGATTTGATGGAAATGGCATCCGAAGCTGTAAATCAAATCGATTCTGCGAGCACTAGCAATGACGAAAATTGTGCTGAATGATGAAGAATAATTTAACATCAAAATGATTAAAAGAAGGCCTAAGCTTAGCTGAAAATCTCGAGTCATCTTTCTCGAATGCAGAATCTTTTGAAAAAATTCAAAAAGGGAGCTGCAGAACTGTCTAGCTCCATACCGAGAAATTTATAATGACCTGGTAAGATCCAAGAAGCAAAGTAAAATTATAGATTTTTTTTTAAGAGGGATGGAGATGCAAGAATTTTTTTTTTTTTACCACTAATGGTTGGCCCTCAGCCGACTTCGGCTTGGCTACTATTAAGGCTAGAAGTGGTGGTCACTTTATTATGGAGGCACCTTTGCCTCCTATGAAGGGATGGACACTTACAACCATGCCTTTTCCGGGATTCGAACCTGTGCCCATTAATATCGCAGTCGGCTTCCCTAAGCACTATACCGTCTAGGTGGCTATGCAAGAACTTCAAACGAAGAAAAAAATTTTTGAAAGTGAAGGTGATGTCATTTCGCCGAAAAACTTTCTTAGGTTAAATATACCGAGCAGTGATGACTATGAAATTCATTAAATGAAAGCTGTGTTAGCCCGCGTGCGCTGGGTCTAATGGACCCGCCCGATTAAAGAAACATTTCTAAAAATGTCCCTATTTTTCCCAAGTGGTTGTGGTTCAGTGTAATCTCCTCCAAGGCCATCGTCTTTGTTTCCGAAGTTTTTCACCGGAAATTTGATTCAAAGTTTTGCTTTGACAGGATCGGGTCTTTCAGATCCAGCGCACCTATTTGCATTCTGTAATGTAGTTCATTTGTGGTAACACAGAAAGCTGGAAATATGTCACGTAATTTATCCTACAAGGAAGAAATGTTATCTTTGCAAAAATTATCAAATGTATGAACTGTTGAAGACTCTATTGAAGAAACTGATAATGAAAGTTATAATGAATTTTTAGTTCTCATAATAAATAAATAATTCTGAAAACGAAAAGGAGAATGACATTTATTGCTTTATTGGAAAAGACAAAAAAAAAAAAAAAAAAAAAAAAAGCAATGTTCAAAAGAAAAGCCTAAAGCTGATGTTAGAACTCATAATATTATTACTACATTGCCTGAAAACATCGGTAAGGCAAAATATGTGCTGACTAAGTGAACAAATGTTGCTGAAAGTCGTCAGGCATACAAATATTTATATTGCATCTATTTCTGACAGCTTTCAAAGAAAATGCTCGTCACACAACTTTAATTGAAGTTTTCGCTTTTATACACTGACTAACAATAAGTATTTGGACACCTACGCAAGTGACGATATCTGCGGTCCTAAGGTACGTCACGCACTCCGCCGGTATATATCGTGTAGGAAACAGCACCGGTTTTAGTCGCATGCAAGATGCCTCGCAGTTCGGAGCTCTCTGATTTTGAGAAAGGTATAATTATTGGGTATCACAAATGTGGCCGATCCTTAAGGGACATATCTAGCGATCTGAAGTACCCAAAATCGACGGTGGCCTATGTGATTAAGAAGTGGAAGGTGAGCGGTGATTGTCGGAATGTGCCCCGAGTCGGCAGACCAGCGAAACTGGGAGATAGAGACCGACGAGTACTGTCCAGAGAAATTCGGAAGAACCGCACCCAACCTATGGCCCTAATCCGCGAGGAGTTTCAACAGGCATCCGGGAGTATTGTTTCAGTGAATACCATCCGTAAGGAAGCACATCTGCTTGGTTTTCATGGTCGCGCTGCTGCCCCATAAGCCTTTGATCACAAAGTCCAACCGCGCTGCTCGGTTAATGTGGTGCAAAGCACATCGAAATTGGACCGAAGTGGAAACGGGTTCTTTGGAGTGACAAATCAAGGTTTACCCTTTACCGTTCGGATGGCAGAGTCTGGGTCTGGAGAACGTCTCCTGCCAGAATGCATTGTGTCAACAGTCAAGTTCGGCGGAGGTGGAATTATGGTCTGTGGGGGTGTTTCTCCTGATATGGGCTGGGACCCTTGGTCCCCATTCATGGTAAGCTCAACTCCGATGCCTACTGCACTATTTTGGATGACAATGTGCTTCCTACGTTGTGGCAATTTTACGGGTTGGACCCCTGTTACTTTCAGGACGACAATGCCAGTTGTCATGTTTCGACGTTAACCAAGGCTTGGTATGGTGCCAATGGAGTTCATCGAATGGACTGGCCTGCCCAGAATCCAGACCTGAACCCTATCAAGAACCTCTGGGACGAGTTGCATCGCCGAATTCAGGGGTGCACTACCCGTGCAAAATCAGTGAAGGAACTTCTATGTCTTCTCCAAGCCGAGTAGAAGAAAATACCACTAGCTGTCAGACAAAGACTTGTGGAAAGTATGCCCCGGAGGGTCCACGCTGTAATTACCTCTCGTGGAGGCTCTACCAACTATTGATTTTGAATAAAGTTAGTTATTCAAAGGTGTTCACAGGTGTCCAAATATTTATTGGTAGTCAGTGTAGGTCTTTTATATTTTTGTGACATAAGTCATCTTATGTAAATGTGTGAGATCTATGGGTAATAGACGAAACCGGCTTGGAAATTTTCTACAAAACTATGTCCTAGAAACGTTTTCTTTTTTTTATTAAGATGTTTGTGTTTTGAAAAAAAGAATCAGATAAACTTGCGCCTATAAGAGAGTTTTTTTAAGAGTTTGTGAATAACTGCCAGAAATATTACTGTGGGTGAGCTCATAACAATTGATGAAAAACTTGATGTTCTTTCAGGCATCTAATAAACCTGAATAATAATTTCTGAATAGGCTGAATAATATAATGAATTCCTAATA